TAGTTAAGAAAAAAGAGTTATCGAATAGTGACCCAAGCATACGAGTAGCCAATTAAGCGATTCAATGCTGGCAATTGAATTTTACTCGACTGAGGGATTCACTTTGGTGTGGCATCAAGGAATTGGTGACGGCAGAGGGTGCTTCATGAAGACAAATAGGAACAATATACAGAAATTGAGTCTTAAGTATTGTATGTAGTTTGCAGTGTACTGGTCACAAAAACTACATTCATTTCAATGCCAATCCTACATTTTCATCTAGAGCTACGCAATTTGGGGCAAAACTTTCCAAGTTGAGATTTGTGTATTTCCCTGTAGTTTTCAGTGTGCTGACCTCAATATTGACATCTTAATTGTCCCCTAACCCAAAATTTAACCGATTTTTGGTTAAATTTTTTGAAATAAATTGTACAGTGATTCTTGCAGTTTTTTTTAGTGCTGATAACGAAAATAACTCCCGTTTTAACACCAGACCTATATTTTCATCCCATATTAGGTCATTTTGGACCAAAAATTTCAAGTCAAGTTTTATATTGTTTCCTGCAGTTTTTGGTGTGCTGAACTCAAAAATGACTTCCAAAATTTTCCCAGACTCACACTTACCCGAATTTTGACCAATTTTGGACCAAAATTTTTAAATCGAGTTTGACGTTGATCCCAGCAGTTTTTGGTGTGCTGATAACGAAAATCACTTTCATTTCGACTCTAGACTTATATTTTCATCCCAAATTAGATCATTTTGGACCAAAATTTTCATGTCGAGTTTTACATTGTTTCCTGCAGTTTTTGGTGTGCTGAACTCAAAAATGACCTTCAAACTTTTCCCAGACTCATATTTAACCGAATTTTGACCAATTTTGGACCAAAATTTTTAAATCGAGTTTGACATTGATCCCAGCAGTTTTTGGTGTTCTGATAACGAAAATCACTTCCATTTGTACCCCTGGTCTAAAGTTCACTGAATATGAGCCCATAAGATGGACATTTCGTCTACTCAAGCAAAGTCCAAAGTGCACAAAAAATGTCAATTCGCATCGCTCAGCCACACTACGCGCCCAGACTGAACGGCGCGTACCCCTAGTTTTACTCATTTTACTATGCGAATGATTGCAGGTCAACATTTTAAATAATGAACAGACATTTAAGTCGCCTTTGCTAGGCAGTTCAAGCAGTTCAAGAATTCAATGCCTTCAAGAGCCAATGCGAGCCATGAAAATTGAATCTTAAACTGAAGATTACTTAATCTTGAGCCTATATTTTATTCCTATTGAAGTTTAAGATAAATCATTGCTGAGATCATATCTGGCAATAATCTCCCCACAAATTAGCGAATCGTTAAGCTTTAAATAATAATAAATATGATATTTCATTGATATCAAAACGTACAAGATAACTCGTTTCAGAGTTTACAAATGGGTAGAATATTCAGGTATACACAGATTAGATATAAATAATTATACATATAACATTTCATAATTTGATGTGCCGGCTGAATCATAAGAATCCTTTTTAAAATTTGATGTGGCGGCAAATTTAAATTAATAACTACAAGGCAATGCAGAATTGAGGTATAGAAATAAATACTCTGACAATTGACAGAAAAAATTTAAAAAGGTTTAAAAAAAAAAAAACTTAAAAGGAAGAAATTTGGAAAAAGGGACCCAAAACAAAAAATTTAAAAACCCATTAAATAAAACCCCCATTTTTAAAATTTGGAAATTGGGTTTAAAGGAACGGCTCAAACCCCAACAATTTCCAAAAATTAAACCAAATCCTTTAAACCATTTTCCATTTTGGGGGGCCCAAGGTTTGGAAAAATTTGTTTAAACCAATTTGGGGGCATACAAAAACCAAAAAGAAAAAGGTTAAAAGTAAAACCCGGGGAATTTTTGGAATGGAAACAATGAAATTTTTGATGACGAAATATAAAAGAATACTAACGGCAACAATAAATCATGAGGAACGAGGAGGACTAAACCCACAACGAACAGAAACCATCCTTGAAATATTTCCATAATTCTCCTACGAAAAAAAAAGGCAGGTTAGGTTATGGTACTCCAATAACGCATGTTTTCAGAGGTTCGTTGTTCCGTGCACCAGCTCACCGACACGATTGCAGGTAAGACAAGATTTGTCTTTTTACAGCCATGCCTCCAAAACACTGAGAACAACTCTTAAAATAGTGCAAGTTTACAGCAGACGAGGTTCTTGGCTCAAATTCTGCTTTCTGACTGACTGACGACAGACACACGTCACCGTCACACCAACACAGCCACCCTAGAACATCTAAAAGAGCAGGCAGTTAATTGAAAGGTGGGAAAAAATTAACAGAAATCGCGTCAATTTGGCTTTTACAAGATTAAAACAACATTTGAAAATCAACAGAGCTGCAATTAAGAGATTATTGTGGCGACAAAGTTCACTTTTACCATTGCAAAGGTTGCCAAGCTTAAGTGCTTGTCAGTTGTTTCGAGAATTTTGATTTCTGGGTGGGAAGGAGGCTAGGCAAGGCAGGTGTTAGAGTCAGAGTGTCAGAGTCGGTCGCCGGCCAGTTGTGTGAGCCATAAAATAAGATAGTTGTCTCTGTGGGTATCAAACGCAAAGGTTCAAAATGCCAAAGAAGATGAAGGAGCAGATGAAGGAGCAGTCACTTCTGCCGTAAGTACAAACATTAGCTACGTGGTTTGAAACGCGGCGAAAAGGGGCGAAGGTGGCGACCGGCATACTGTACATTCGCGACCAGAGGTGCCATCATGAGTGTGGCAAACAGCCTCCAAACAACGAGCGAAACAAAGGGTCGAACCCTTATAACGCACCGGAACAGCACTCCGACAATGAGGTCCCCGGTGGGGTTCGGCTGTTTAACTTTTCCTTTGGTCGCCGCTGGCTCAGGTATGAGCGAATGCACAGTTGCAAAACGGGTAAGGGCTGCTAAATGAAGTGACCCCTCTGGCATCTCCACGTTGTAGAGGAGCCTCCCTTGAATTTCTGCTATTCCCCCCTGTCATTTAATTCATTCGGAGCTGTTTACATCATAGTCATTTCCAGGTGACACCTGGTTCAACACCTAGCCTGCCACATTTTTTCGCAGGGATGGGCACGCAAATGCCCGTTTTCAAATAATTATGCATTCAACTCTTAATAATGATTCAGTAACGCCACTTGTTAACCGTTCTTTACACCCTCATTTCAAAATTCAGGTTAATGTGAAGAGAACGAGTATTGTGCTCAAAATCAGTTTTTGTTAGCTACATGATTCAACTCTCTACGCACACAAGGAAAACCATATGAAATGTACTCATTTGAAAGATCAAAGCCTCATCTTTAAGGCGTAAATAAAGTATTTTTCATTTCACTTCTTGTTATATAGCCTGTTGTCACAGTTGGTGGGTGGACCAGCCGGTGTCATGTAGCCAATTGACTTGACATTCCATCGGCTGTCTTTGAATTTTAATCTAAGTGCTTAGTGCTTCTCATCCATGTCTGAGTCCTTGCGACTTGATTGCGCCAAACTGATACCTAATTTCTTGAACCAGCAATTAAGTTAGCCGGAGGAACCTTTAAAAGGGAGTCACATCATACAAATTGAAGCGGCTGAGTGACAAAAATTGTAATTCATATTTCTTTAATTCAAAACCTCACAGTTTTTCTGTTAACTGTGTCAAGGGCTATCTAATGGGAATATTGTTGGATCCATTTCTGTTGTTACAGACCTCACTAGACAATAAAATTTTCTGTTGGTCCTGCTAATAGCTGAAATGAAAAAGAAGGTGGAAAGAAACATTGATAAATGTTTGGAGAGCGAGGCCGTAGCAGAAAATGTCTCATAAAGCTCATAACCGTTGTGTTGAAACCTTAGGTTGAAAAAATGGAAAGAAAAATAAATAATTGTTTGGAGAGCAATAATTTCAGATTGAGGGAGAAGTACTAGAGACCAATCATACAGGGCAATGATCAGAAAAATGTTCAATAGTTCAAGTTCAAGTCCAGTTAGAGGGTGTGAGACTCGAAGAACACTTCTCAGCACTGTACAACTGAACTTGAACCATCTTGAACTGCACCATTGATCATTTTTCTTTCATTGAAGTGTATAATTGGTCTCTGCGAGTCTAGTCATGGTTAGGTTAGGTTCGCTTCCTCATAATACTTACATTGAAAATTGCATTTACAGATCCTGGGCGCTAATTATCATTATCGTAGGCTTCTTCGCCATGGCCGTGATGATAGCGTACCGTCGCCCGGAAGAGGCTGTAACAGTGCTATCGAGAGTAGCCGACATTGTCCTAGGTTAGTGAAAGCGGCTGCGGCTGCGCGAAACGCGAAAAAGGGGGAGTGGAGTGGTATTTTAGTAACTGGTTGGCAAAGAAGGTTGCCGACCGAAGTGAGGTTTGAGGTTCATGTTCAAGAACCTAACAAACCGAAGTTTGACGAAGTCACCACAGAAAAGTGGCGGGCTGACATCGCCCAAAAAGAGCAAGGGAGGCAAATCGCCAAGCAAGAGCCAGGGAGACTGTACAACAGCGCCGAGGAAAGAGTCCAGGGAAAAGAGTCCAGTTAAGGGCATTTCCAAATCACCAGTTAAGGGCATTTCCAAATCACCATCTAAGGGCATTTTCAAATCACCATCTAAGAGCATTTGTGAATCACCTTCAGTGCCATCCAGGGAATGCACCGGCAAAGGAGCACGTACGCCACTGAAGTTAAGCGCTCCTGTCAGGACACCACAGAAGGAGCAGAGCAAGGGACGGGCAAAGACACCCGTTAAGACCGGGAAAGAGGCTGTGGATAAACCCAGAACGCCTGGCAAAGCACTCGGATTCAAGTCACCGACGGCGGACAAAGGAATTTCCTTTCCGAACAGAGCAATATCTTTGTCGCCATCCAAGCAACCGAGGTTGAAAGACGTGACGTTGCCACAACCTGAATTTACCTATTCGCAAAATGAGCAGGCCATGACGTTTCGAGAACATCCGTTTACCTTTTCGCAGAAAAGGCACCTTCCGACCAAGCAGAGTCGTATGTCGGACTATGTGGAAAGTATCTCAGAGAGTGAACTGGCTGATATTCAAGAAGACATAGACCGACTGCGACAGGTGACGTCCCCGGCCTCCACTGTTGGCTCTGCCCGCAGTGCTTCACCCAGCATTTCCGAATGCAGCGAGGTGTCCATGTTTAAGACACCCCAAGACAAATCTGCATACAGGGCCCTCTCCTTCAGCAGTCCTTCAACATCTTCAAGTACGTAGAATTTGCAGGATCTGATTAATCGGAGTAAATAAGAGTGTGATCCATATTCCTTTCCATTGACAGGCTTTCGGCTGCTTCAAAGCCTCATCTCTGACAACCACCGTGATTTGGGGCGCCAACTGCGTCTACTAGAAGAGATTCTACGCAATGCAACTGGATCGATTCAGAAGATCCTGTCCTGTGTACTTCCTCCCATAGAGACAAATATAGCGGAAGACCTCCCACGTTTGCCATTAGAGGAGAAAGACGGGGAGAAAAAGATGAACGACCTTCTAAAACAGAAAGAACAGTTCAATAAAGTGGTGAGTTCAAACAATATAGTGCCCCACGTTAAGGATGTCAGTGAGTGTGCAAGGGCCGGCCGATACAAATGTTTTTTTTATCTCGCAGGTGACATTTCTTCACGGCCTCGGTGGCACCTGCGCTAGGGACGCAGTTTTTTCGGCGATGAAAACACTCTTCACGGACGAGTTTGCGTCAACGAAGAGTATGAAGGGAATACGGCGGACAGGGCAGCCGAAGAAGGATGCCTTTATGGGGACGCCTCTCTTCAAGGCAGTCATGTGTGAGTATTCTGATCCGTTTGCATGAATACATACGAGCCAACCCGTGAACACATCGTGGCAAGGCGGAGGGCTCTTCGCGGAATCTATTCATTATCTTCGAACCGCGTAAACCGGTTTCATTTTGAATTCCCCAAGACATTTTTACCTGAATTCAAATTTGGAGGCAGTATGCCACCGTTTACAGATTTAAAACTGGGTGTTGTGGTTTTGAAATTATGGTGGGGGTGTTTTTGCGTGGGCATCTGACCTCCATTTCAAACGTTTTGCCTGTAGGAGGCCTGAGCGAGGCGTGGGGGTCTTGTTTCGGGTGGAAATTGTTGTGTTGTAGGTGTATTGCAGTGGTAACCGTCTTCTTGTGGTTTCAGGTGCTGTGCGGCGTAGGTTCCGAGAGGCTACCGTCTCTGAAGTTATGGAGATGACTGGGAACTGGCTGAAGGACGCCCCAGCCAGAGAGCGGAAACGCCAGAAAAGGAAGGAAGACAGGGAGAAGGCCCTTCGGGAATATGAAGAGGATGGCACCGAGGTGGAGTCCGTGAACTTAGATTAGTTCGTGTCGATGTGCGTGTTATTCTTTACTTAATTGTGGCTGTCGACATAGGTTTCTTCTGTAAGTCTGTATCCTAAATGCATACTGGCCGAGCATATCTTTTGCCCATTTTTCTTCAGATAATATTTTGATGGTAGATGTAAGTTTTGTAGGCTTAAGGCAATTTATTTTCGCATCAAGGAGACATATTTGTATGGAGCATTGTATTGCATATCAGTCTTGTTTAGATCTTAAGTAGTTTTCGTCTGTCTGAGTGACTCCGTTTGTTTCATTGTATAGGCATAGGTCAGTGACCTGGAGGAAGAGAGAGGCTTACCTTCCCTTATAAAACGGGGAAGGCTCCGAAATGGGTCCGATCGGACGATCCGAAATTTTCCGGAGGACAGTCCGTCAGTCCCCGCCGGACAGTTCCGAAATCTTTCCCGGACTTGCCGGGAATCGGTCGAAAAGTACCACAATCAGAAGGATTTCGGGGAGTCCGACAGGGCTGGTCGGGCTCGTTCCGGGCCGTCCGAGACGAGTCCGGAAAAAAAGAAACTGGCGCTGGCCGAGGTGGGACTACTGTGGCTGGATTCGTTCCCGGGCCCCTCTCCTTTGGACTTTCCTCGCTGCTTGTTGTCGGCGTCGCTGACCACTGCGCCAACCTGAAACATGAGGGCCGGGCCCGCAGGCGAGCCTCTTCACCGGCGCGGCGCTCCTTCCTCCTCTCCGTGGCGAGCGCACCGCGCGCTATGCAAGCTAGAAGGGTGCGGTTTTCGACGCGCATCTTGTCTGAATCACCTGAATAGCGGGATTCGACATAGCAGCTCACATATTTTAAATTAGATCTTGCAAAATTTGAGCGGCTTTGGTCATACCCACTATGTGAAAAAAATATATATTCATGGAAAATTTCTTTGCTGTCATACATCAACAGATTTAGGGCATTACCGTATTGAACGAGTAATATTTTAACATGCTGCTCTGCATGTTACAGTTTGACGCTGCTTTTTTTTTGCAAAATAAATGTGTGTTCTAATACAGCGTGCTGTCTGATGACACTGTGTTTGTACCACTTTACCTGTGCAATCTGCACAGGTATAGGCGGGTTAGAGGCGTCCCGCCGGGGTAACCCGTCCCCTCGTGCGACCCGCGTGCGGCGGGGGTTTTCCCGCGAGGCAAACAATCCCTTTGGAATTATTCGCTACAAATTCTAGGAATCTGAGGCAAACAAGAGTAGGCCTAGGGTCATTCCATGGGGGTTCGACATACTTTTGCAAGTGATCTCTCCGATTCCGATGAAACTTTGCGAGCTTGTTGGCTATGGTCTGAAAGCCCCCAAAACCAATTTTGAGCAAAAAATACCGATTTTTGAAAAAGTTATGGCTTGCGTTAGAAATTTTGATTTTCGATGCAGACCTTTTATGAAAACGCTGTAGTTTCTTCAAAAATGAAGCTACAAAGCTCATTCTGGGCGCATTAGAAAGGTATTGAATTAAACTTTAAGCCTATTGCAACATTTTGACAAAAATGTTCAAATTTGACATACATTGAACAAAGTCAAAATTTTGAACACAATTTTCTCAAAAGTAGTATTTTTGATTTTTTTTCTTTTTTGATATGTTATAGTCCATACTTTAGTCTAGCAACCCTCAAAATTTGGTTTGAAAAAATTCATAAACAAGGAAGAAAAACGGTTTTTAGTGTTGCGATTCGGCAAATTTTCGCTAGTTGGAGTGGTGAGGAGAGCAGCATGATGCACATTTGAGACCGCAGGTTGTCGATCTCGAACTTCTAGTGTCACTTGGAACAGTTTTTTGGGGTGCTGAACTTAAAAATTAGATCAGTTTTCGTTTTCAAAATTCCCAGGGGCGGATCAAGGGGGGTGACTTTTCAAAAATCAGGATTTTCGGATGTTGCAACGCGATTTCTATGTTTTTTTGGGTGGAGATATCGAATCTTGAACGATGTTGAATGCAAGTTGGCCCTAAAGCTGATCTAACGTATCGTCAGAACATAAAAGTGTGCAAATAGAAGATCAAATAGTCCCCTAATGTGAACAACTTTGGCCCGTTGCAAAAAGTAAAGCTAGTGTTGTTACTCACACCCCTGTAGACATAAGAATCAACATGCGACATCCAAACATCTTGAATTCTGAAAAGTCACCCCCATTGACGCACCCCGTTATTAAGATTACGAGGGGCGGATCAAGAGGGGTGACTTTTCAAAAATCAGAATTTTTGGATGTTGCATATCGTTTCTCATACTTTCCTGATTTTCGAAAAGTCACCCCTCTTGATCCGCCCCTGGTAATCTCAATAAAGGGGTGCGGCAATGGGGGTGACTTTTCAGAATTCAAGACGTTTGGATGTGGCATGTTGATTATGTCTACAGGGGTGTGAGTAACAACGCTAGCTTTACTTTTTGCAACGGGCCAAAGTTGTTCACATTTGGGGGCTATTTTGATCTTCTATTTGCACACTTTTATGTTCTGACGATACGTTAGATCAGCTTTAGGGCCAACTTGCATTCAACATCGTTCAAGATTCGATATCTCCACCCAAAAAAACATAGAAATCGCGTTGCAACATCCGAAAATCCTGATTTTTGAAAAGTCACCCCCCTTGATCCACCCTTGGGAATTTTGAAAACGAAAACTGATCTAATTTTTAAGTTCAGCACCCCAAAAAACTGTTCCAAGTGACACTAGAAGTTCGAGATCGACAACCTGCGGTCTCAAATGTGCATCATGCTGCTCTCCTCACCACTCCAACTAGCGAAAATTTGCCGAATCGCAACACTAAAAACCGTTTTTCTTCCTTGTTTATGAATTTTTTCAAACCAAATTTTGAGGGTTGCTAGACTAAAGTATGGACTATAACATATCAAAAAAGAAAAAAAATCAAAAATACTACTTTTGAGAAAATTGTGTTCAAAATTTTGACTTTGTTCAATGTATGTCAAATTTGAACATTTTTGTCAAAATGTTGCAATAGGCTTAAAGTTTAATTCAATACCTTTCTAATGCGCCCAGAATGAGCTCTGAAGCTTCATTTTTGAAGAAACTACAGCGTTTTCAAAAAAGGTCTGCATCGAAAATCAAAATTTCTAACGCAAGCCATAACTTTTTCAAAAATCGGTATTTTTTGCTCAAAATTGGTTTTGGGGGCTTTCAGACCATAGCCAACAAGCTCGCAAAGTTTCAACGGAATCGGAGAGATCACTTGCAAAAGTATGTCGAACCCCCATGGAATGACCCCCTAACCAGGATAGAGAATACCGGTCTACTCGCCGTTATTGTCACATGTTCAAAAGTTCTAACGTGTCCTAACAAGATTGAGTGTATCCCGGTCACCCCTGCATCCGGACTGTATCGGACAGACCGTCGGACAGATTCGGACTCTCCGACAGCCTTCGGCAAATAATCGGGCTGTCCGCTTCGCCTGTCCCCGGATTCGGACTCGAAAAGTCGAGTCCCGGACAGAAAACGGACTGTCCTGGGCCAGTCGGACAGCTTTGGATGTGTCCTCGGCCAGTTTCGGATGATTTCGGTTTGGTAAGGGTTTTGCCCATCTGTTTTGAAATTAAACCTTAAATTCTTGTTCCTTTTAATCTCATTACCAATAATAGTGCACAAAAGATTATGGGGCATTTATTTCTGTATCATTGAGACATGGTAGTGTGATTCGTGTCGATGTGCGTGTTATTCTTTACTAAATTGTGGCTGTCGACAAAGGTTTCCTCTGTAAGTCTGCATCCTAAATGCATACTGGCCGAGCATATCTTTTGCCCATTTTTTTCAGATAAAATTTTTATAGTAGATGTAGGTTTTGTAGGCTTAAGGCAATTTATTTTCACATCAAGGAGACATGATTGTATGGAGCATTCCTATTGCCTGTCAGTTTTGTTTAGATCTTAAGAAGTTTACTTTGTTTCATTGTATAGGCATAAGTCAGTGACCTGGAGGAAGAGAGAGGCTTACCTTTTCCCCATTTGTTTTGAAATTAAACCTTAAATTCTTGTTCTTCTTAATGTTATTACCAATAATAGTGCACAAAAGATTATGAGACAATTTATTTCTGTATCATTGAGATATGGTGTGGCCTGTCACTGCTGCATCGCCTATGTACTAGGGGGCGTCATACTCAGGCGACCTTCGATTTCAGCATGCGGGTGTGACTCAAAATTTTCGTTTTTTAGTGCTGAGTTCAGATTCGTGTCGGGTTTTGCGATCGGACTGCGTCTTGATCACCCTACCCGACGATTTATGTCAAAAAGCGGCGAAAATTCGTTTTTTCCCATTGTTTTGCCCCCTTGAGTTCGGGGTGGCGGTTTCTCGACCAGATTGCCTTCACTCACTCCAGACACGACTCTTCCAACCACCAGAGTCCATGTGAGTCACCCCATTTGGAGCCTAGGCCTCAAAACATGCCAAAATTTGGTGAAAAAATGAAAATTTTCACCGTTTTTTCGACATTTTTGAGCCATTTTGAGCCCCACATCGCCCTCTTAGGTGACCTGTATGGACAAAAAGGAAGAAGGGTGTGTAGGAAAGGCAGCGCAGCGCCGGGGCATCGCCCGGGGTGTCGTGGAGGGCGGCTTTGAGTCGGCAAAAACAGGATTTTTTCGAAAAATTGAAGAAAATGGTCGAAGCAGCCGCCGTAGCTGCGGCAGCGAATGTGCAGGTCTTAGCTCGTTAAGCAAGTTTGCTGTGCCTACCCAGGGCTCACCACGAGGAGGTGCCTGCACGTCGAGCCCCGCCCGCCCACCCACCCGGGCGTAGCGTTTAGCTGCGTCTAACGCTGCTTTATCGGCCATCGAAATACAAAGCCTCTGGTTGAGAGCACTCCGCCAGACCCGCAGCATTGACTCCTCCCATGACCCCCTATTTTTTTCAATTTTTCGAAAAAATCCTGTTTTTGCCGACTCAAAGCCGCCCTCCACGACACCCCGGGCGATGACCCGGCGCTGCGCTGCCTTTTCTACACACCCTTCCTCCTTTTTGTCCATACAGGTCACCTAAGAGGGCGATGTGGGGCTCAAAATGGCTCAAAAATGTCGAAAAAACGGTGAAAATTTTCATTTTTTCACCAAATTTTGGCATGTTTTGAGGCCTAGGCTCCAAATGGGGTGACTCACATGGACTCTGGTGGTTGGAAGAGTCGTGTCTAGAGTGAGTGAAGGCAATCCAGTCGAGAAACCGCCACCCCGAACTCAAGGGGGCAAAACAATGGGAAAAAACGAATTTTCGCCGCTTTTTGACATAAATCGTCGGGTAGGGTGATCAAGACGCAGTCCGATCGCAAAACCCGACACGAATCTGAACTCAGCACTAAAAAACGAAAATTTTGAGTCACACCCGCATGCCGAAATCGAAGGTCGCCTGAGTATGACGCCCCCTACTATGTACGTGTCCCTACGGCAGGGGTTATAGTGCCTTGACGATGACAAGTAACGTGACAGCGACCAAAGTACGGTTGGCTGAACGTGGCTTTTTAATTTGACGTGGAGTGTCACCGCGATATGCGTGTTATTCTTTACTAAATTGTGGCTGTCGACATAGTTTTTTCTGTAAGTCTGTATCCTAAATGCATACTGGCCGAGCATATCTTTTGCCTTCAGA